GGTAGTTTCTAATTATTAATTGTATTGTATAATATTCATATAGGGAAAGAAGTGATTTTCTATACTTCAATTCTCAGAGTGAGAATTGTGGATATCTTTATATTTATTTTTTCATTTCTTTTTAGTGTTGTGTAATCTTTTTGACATGTTACAGATGATTACTTTGAGGTGGAGTGCTAATCTAGTTAGAATCTCTTTCTCACTTTGTGATGCTTTAGCATATTCATTTATTTATTTATTTTTAAAAAGACAAGTTTCAGAACGAGGATATAGAAATTATAACTGAACCATGATATAAAAGTTGGTCTTGGAAGGGGAAAAAAAAAAAAAGTTGGCATGAAAAATTATGGTTCGACTTGAGAGATTGGAGCTTCTTGCAGAATTCCCCTAACAACCCAAATAAAGGTTCATGTGGGCCTTTCTCATGGTTCCCACAATTACAGGCCACGGGGAAAACTATTCGACATCTCACTATAAATGCCTCAATCTTAAAAATGATGCTGAATCATGATTTTTGTGCTAAAAAAACTCCATTCAATATATTTAACCAAAAAGGAGTACTATTAATATGCTCTCTAACACACTTTTATTAATTAAAATTTATTTAAAAAAAATACAAAATTGGAAGAGAGAGAATATTAAATAAGGTTTAAGATCCACTTAAATGTATTTTTCAATAATTTTCAATCAATTAAAAAAATATATTAAAAAGAATGTTTGCAAGAGTGTCCACAAGTCATTATTAACATAATTAAATACAAAAGTGTATCTAATTCATCTTAGAGATTGACTTCTGCTAAACCACATAGTTATGGGACAAAGTTATCTCCTAATCATGTCACCTTATTAGTGGTATTATATAAATGTTTTAAAAAAATTATAGTACAAAAATTATAAAACACATACAAAAATTTGAGGTGTCCATACAGCATCTAGCATGGACAATTACATGACATGACCACTACTTAGAAGTGTCCCAACTTCTAAATATTATTCTGAAAAAACATTAAATGTACACCACAGGCACTCTTAAATTTGTAAATATACAATTCATTATACATATGGCCACAAATACTCTTCAACTGCTTCACCTTATTCATTATCTCCCTCTTATCTGCTTTGCTAAGTGTATTTTCTGCTTGTATAAGCCTCTGACTGACAATGAGCATTTTGTGCTCTCTTAATTGAAATTTCCCATAACAGACTGTCCAACAAAAAAAAGCAGAAAAATAATTAACCAAGTTAGACTTGTAACACATGAATAGAAAGAAGAAACTCAAAAGAACCTCTATTTCCCTAAAAAAATGTTTGAAAGCTCTTCAAGAAAAGACAGAAATATAAATGAACTTACCATATTTAGAAGCCTTAAAGCAGCAGTCCGAGTAAATTTTCTTGCAAAAAGGAAGCAAGTTGATGCTTTACCCTTGCTGCTGCACCATTCTCTTCGGTATTCGGTTTCGTAATAAATATTATCTATTTCCTGCAAACAAATAATCAAACTTGCACATATTTTCTTAATGAAAGTAGAGTACATGCACTTTATATGCTTCTCTACATTAGCTGTCTTAGTATGGTTCAACAATAAGTGAACTTTTTCTTGTTCTTCAGCATATCCCTTCCAAGTCATAAATGCATATTCAGCTCATTATCATAACTGCAAGTGAAATTACTGATAATTGTCCGGTTACTTAAATAATTTGAGGAATGTTTTATTATTTGCTGCTGTGAACTGGCCAGGGCATACATGAAAAACTGATTGCTCATACAAGGTATTGGCTTCAATTAGTTGGCTGATAGGAATCAAAAATAAGATTCAGGTTTAATCAAGGCAAGGATCACATAACTACTTTGCTTTATTTACAAGGTTTAAATACTTATTTGGTCCCTAAATTTTCATAAACTTTATCTTTTAATAGTTAAAAATATTCCTTTTTAGTCTTTAACTTTATACATACCATTTTTGTTTCCTTTTAATATTGTCTATTTATATAGAAACTAAAAAGGTAAAATTTATAAACTATAGGGAGTAAAAAAAAACTAAAAATGACATATATAAGGACTAAAATAAAATATTTTTAACTACAAGTACTAAAAAGTAAAGTTAATGAAATTATTGGGACCAAATGAGTATTTAAACCTATTTACAATAACAAAAATTCCACACCTTGTTCTCTGTAAGTTGGTGAATATGCTGATATGTAATAGGTGATTTATTTGATTGTTTGAATTCATTTAGTCTCCAATAGGGGATTTTCCTATTATTACCACTCACAATGTCTTCCGCTGCTAAGGCAATCGCAGTTTAAAGTCAAATAGTCAATAACCTAACACATTAACCCTTTTTGGATGCATGGAAATGATCATGGAATGAAAGTTGATTCAAAAGAGTGATTTTGCAATGGCAGTACAGTAAAGGTCAAACCTTTATAAATTTCAGAAGCATAGGTGTAGCATCTGAGTACTTGTAAGTTACTGGATGCCACCCACGGCGCTCCCGATCCTTGTTGTTGGAAATATCCCAAGAAGTGTGTGTCAATGATCTTCGTGTGATTTCTTCTTCAAGGTTATTTTGCTAGATTTGGGAAGGCAAACACTTACATAAGTAAATTGAAACTAACATAGTGATCACATTAAAATACTTGTAATGTTATATAAGCCTTGTATCAAAGTTAAAATTAGAAGCCACAAACTTGCTTCAATTTCTTTAGCCATCTGTTTTTTCATATGATGTTTCATTTAACTTAAAAATGCAGTAATGTAATCAATTCAATCTTTGAAACATTGAGAAACAGTAGCCGACAATTGTCATCCCGGTTTTGCATTAGTGTCACCCAAATAAAACAAATACAAGACCCGAAAAAATATACAAAATTATTTTCTTGACATCATTCTTTACTCTAGCATAATAAATTATGACATAGCAAATTGTTTAGTCAAAAGTGTGATTGACACATAGGAGATATGGTAAATAATGTAATCGTAAACTAGTGACTCATAACATATACAGGATCTCTCTTTCTCTCTCTGAGATGAATGCAGCCTGTATCTGATACACATGCACCCGAGACATAGAAAGAGTGCCAGGAGTTAAAAGAAAAGGATCCTTACAGCCAGTAATGTCTGGACATAGTGTTCATCTGGTATACAGTTATGCACCTTAGATGTGTCAGCAGGCTGCATAAAGGAAAAAAGTTATACTTAAAATTTGTTACTTCATATCAGTTCACAATAAAATATTGAATTACTTTGTGACATTGTATGAGCAGAAAATTATTTCAATACAGAAAACAGAGACTGATTGAAGCTAATGTAGTGAAAAGAGAACCTCTTTAAATAATTTTTACATGTGTCATGTTATAGAGCACTTACAATGTAATGAGCCCTCCAAAATTCTGGTAGCGGCTTTTTCTGCATTATTAAATCCATAGGTAAGACTAAGAGAAATGAATAAGGCTATCAGCATGAAAGAGACAAGAAAGATGATTGGCTTAAATACTAACAAGAAGATACATGACCCAAAACATGCATGGAAACCCAGTCATGAGTTTATGATATTTTAAGATATAGAATGTGCGGAAACCCTGACAGATGAAAAAGAAAGAACATGGATAGAAAAGAAATACTCCCTACAACTTTCACTGTCAAATTTGGCAAATTCTCTAAGGTCATCACCTCATTGATGTGTAACTTTATTTGAACAAGAGTCCAACATATCAAAGGAAGTATGTGCACCACTTATTAAAGACAAATTATCAATGGACTGTATCGCCCTTACCTTGCAATATTTTTGAAACATTGGAAAGACAGTTTCATCCTCCACTACGACCTTGGCATGCTTTCTGGTCAGAACAGCCCACTGCAGGAGAAAACATAAATAAACTGGAATAAGATGATATTATTTGGCAAAGCATGTCATGTATTTTGAATTTCAGAATGAACTTATAGAACACTAGGAACTACATTAGACCTTTACCTGAGATCCTTTCCGCCAGTTATAGACAGGAATAACAGGATCCATTTTTGGATTGTAACGGCCTTCTTTCGTGTCCGCAAAGCTGCATACATTTTAATGCCAAAAACAATTAAACTGTTGGCAAATAAACAGCTAAAGTTTAAACAAAAAAATTATCCTTTTTAGCAAATTTAACCTAACAAAATTTGCTATTGAGGAATTGTAGTTTCACAACAAACATAATGTCAATAACTTCACTAATTGAAATTAGTGGTATAATTTTCAAAATTTGAGATTTAAGTTTTAAGTCATCAAATGATAAAAATTGATAGAAAAAAAGGGGGTAACATTACAGACCCAATATGCTGAAGCATAAGACAAGTGTGTATCCTCACCTGTCGACAAAACTAGTTGATGTTGACATGATGTAGTCATACGTATAGCTGAAGTTGTACAAAGGTATACAACTGAAAAGAGATCAATCAACTGAAATATAGTAAGGTGCTAGGTTCAAAAATAGAGAAATATCAATGTCATTTCTTTAATCAAATAATTAAGCAAACTGAAGTACAATCAAAAGGAAATCATACTTTCAAAACTGTATATAAGTAGCAAGTACATGTAGTTTAAGTCCAGAAAGTGATAAGCCAAAGCATAAGGATTAAAACTTTATAGCTGTTAACAAATTTATACCCTCACCTATCTGAGAGGAAAACAAAGCGGTCATTTAAAGGATCACTAAGCGCATGTCTAAGTAAGACGCGCTCAGCCTCTATCATGCTTGCTTCTCCCCATTCAACCTGGAAATAGATCACATGAACTATATATCATGAAGCTGACACAAAAAAAATGGGATTGCAGATTCCAAAGTACTATTTTTCTGACAAATTTCAGCTTACAATAATTCAAAGTTCACTTTTAGAGAAATAGATCACATGAACTATATATCATGAAGCTGACAGACATAAAAAAAGTGGGATTGCAGCTTCCGAAGCACTATTTTTCTGACAAATTTCAGTTTACAATAATTCAAAGTTCTTTTAGAGAAACAATTAAGAACAGGCGATAGCCCAAATTTTTAAGACAAAATGGGATCACAACTTTGTAACAACTATTTTTGGACAAATTTCAAACAATTTGGTAAAATTAAATTAAATAATTCAAAATTCACTTTTACAGAAACAATTAAAAACAGGAGATAGCCTGGATTTTTATTGATGACATGAAAGTTTGTGATAAGATCTCTACCCAATCAGTTTTAGATATAAACTAATAATGCACAATGCTCTTTGAGTGTAACCCAATAAAATGCAACGTTCAAATCAAACTATTCAATATAATGCTAAATGGCACAGAACAAAAGCTCCTACAAAGAGCAAAAAGGAAGACTTTTAGGATTCTACTGTGAAACAGCAAGGAAGATATGTTTCCCAATGTTAGAAAATCTGAGAAATATCAAATGATATTTTTTTAGCCTGTCTCCTTTTCCTATTTTATCTCCTTTTTATTTTGATTCTCTATAATCTACTTTTCTCCTTTCCTGCCTAAAATCTTTGAATTCAACACCCAAATTCGTTAATTAAAAAAGATGCATACACTCAACTGCTATTATAGAATGGAGGTGGTCAAACTTTATAGGTGAGAACTATAAATCCTTAAGTTTAACAATTTAAAAAGCACACAATAATCATTCTTATTAGGCATCTTAATGACCAATCCTCTCTCTAAAAGAAAAGAAATAATATACACTTTGAAACAAGTATACCAATAAGGATTACTACATATCTACGGCATTTAATTCTATCCCTAGCAAAATAGTTATACATTTTCATATTTAATTTTATCCCATACTATTTGATATCCCTATATCATAATGCTATTACGACGTAAGCAATGGGTAGGCACACCAAATCAAGTGCAGCTACTTATTGATATGAACACCACCACATTACAGATCATGGGACATGAATCATAAACAAAAACAGGTTCTGATGAAAACAAAGACAGAAGAGAAACCTGTACGCTATTATTAACTTGGCGATTCAAAAAATATGTTGATCTAGTTGTTGCTTTGTTGAGAATAAATCCTGGCCTGCAGTGAACAAAAATTGAAAATTTGCTATCGCCTCCCTGAAGAAACAGCACAAATGTTTCTGTAAGCATTACTACCTCAAATAGTAAACAAGAAGCACTCCATGAAATTACAAAGAAAAACAATATGTTCATCACCCATGACTTTTCAAAACATAAAAAGGGATATCTACAATTACACATCCATTATAAACACTTACACTTGAGTATGACTTTCCCACTGGGTGTAGAAAAAAGGGAGAACAAACTCTAACAACTAATTTAGCCAGAGGTAGGTCTATTAGCAATTTAGCGTCAATTTTAAGAAGTTATGCAAACTTGCATTAATTTTGAATGAGCTGTTACAATAAGGTAAATATTCGGAACTAATTACTAGACTTGCCTTTAGTATCACAAATTCCCAATATAGATAGCCACCACACAAATCAAAGATTGCTATATGCACATTATTATTTGAATTGATTATTTAAATTACTAAGGGTCTGTTTGGATAAGTTTTTCTAGAAGCACTTTTAGAAGAGAAAAATAGGGGAAAAATTGAAATTAGTTTCTCCATAAGCTAAAACTAATTTATACATGGGTTAAATTAAGATTTAGAAGAAACTAATAGAAGAAAACTTCTATAAAGTAACTTATGCATAAGCTAATTTCAACTTATGAAAAAATTTATTTCATTTTTCTTTCCTATTTTTTTTTTCTCTCCTAGAAATGTATCTAAAACAGTTTACCCAATTAGACCATAAATTTACACCATCGGCTATTCTCAACAGTGCATTCAAGTAACATCAACAGATTACCAGGAATAATGCACCTCCCCAGAATTATCCATTAGCAATTAAAAGTGGCCCAAGTTTTGAATTGGAAAACAGCACATAGGTCTCAATTAATCCTTACGACTTGAAACTAATCACAATTGATGCACCCCATATTAGCCTCCAAACCTCCTATTAATTAAAAGCCCGACCCACACACACCCAGAGATTTGAGTTTAATTTCCATATGCCCTCGGTGTTGAAAATTTTTAAACTAATAACCAATGAGAAATTATCATTAGTAAGACTTATGAAATAATTACCATAAAAGTCAACAAACTTATGGTGTATAACGGTAAATGGATCGCAGTGTAAAAACACTATTTATTCCAAAGATATAGAGATCAATAATCAATAATAACAACTAAAAGAGAAAAGAAAGTACCCGAAAGAATGCATCCCAAACCATTTCCAAAGGAAGCCTGTTCCTTGCAATGAAGAGAAACGCAATCTTTGGCCCCTGAACTTCAGGCTCAGAAACAAAGTGGTGTTGCAATGAAACCAACCCCGCAACATGATTATAACATGTCTGCATAAACAACAAGCTTCCTAAACAAAACACCACCAAGATCAAAGCAAAAAGCTTCTTCTTCCACTTGTGCTGAATCACCTTACGCTTCATATTCTAACCCAACCCCCTTTTCAGCTAGAACTGCCCCACCATTTCAAACTCATTCAGCAGCTGAATCACACCATAAAAAACGAAACTTTGACCCTCACTTGGACGCTGCAGGACTCAAAACCAGAAGATCCAACCAGATCCATGGCGACCCAAAAATCAAAACCCCACACCTAACAAATTCACTTGAAAATTGACCAAACTCGTGGAAAAAGAAAAACTACACTGACCCAGAAATCAATACAAACCAAGTACCAGTGGGGAAAAGACAAAGTAAAAGAAAGCAAGGTGCTTGTGACGCTATGAGCAAAAAGCTTATAGTTTCTCTCTTCTCTTGTGAACTCTTGCAATAGGGAAGGAATGTTATTTGGAAATGAAAGAAGCTTAAAGAGAGAAAGAGAGAGTAATAGAGTTTGTTTTAAGACTTAAGAGTGAAAGGGTTGTTGGTTATTGATTTGGGTATGAAAAAGTGAAGAGTGTCTCCTTCTTCCCATGATCTCAGTTAGGATGTCGTAAAGGTACTACTTCTTTTTCAAGTTGCGTGTGAATCTGGTGATGAACAAAATGCTGTGATTTTCGCTTTATTACTGTGATTGGGATTTGGGAGTTCTAGACTTGTTAAAAAAAACAAAAACATAAACTCTTTTTCTGCAGTGTTGAAGCCTTTCACTTTTTAGAGAGTTTAAGAATCAACTAACATGGATTTATATCTTAGGGGGGTGTATTGGATTAGGATTTCGTAGGATTTTAAAAGATTTTTTTTGAGTAAAAAAGTCCATTGGTATTCAATCAGGATTTTATGTCACTTAAAAACAATACAGTGGTATTCAATCTGGATTTTTAGGATTTTTTAAAGAGTCCATTAAAATCCATTGGTATTCATTTGAGATTTTTTACAACTTAAAAACAATCCATTGGTATTCAAAAATTTAAGGATTTTAAAGGATTGTTGTGTGAGAGGGATTTTGAAAGACTTTCTAGTGTTATCTATAAATACCAGATTCATAAAACAATCCCATCCAAACCCATCGGATTTTGAAGGATTGTTTGAAATGATTTTTCAAGTGTTTTAAGAATTTTCAAGTGAGTTTTTCATCTTTTTTTTCTATGCTCCTGTCTTCTCCATTTTTTCTCTACTAATAATACTACACTATTGTTCATTGCTCATATATAATACTATTCTCATACCATTCTCCTATTTTGTGAAACTCTAATATGTAAATGATAGTGTCATTGACTTGTTTTATTTTTCTGTTCGTTCTCTTTAATTGACTTACTTTATTTTATTCTATGTAGTTGAATTTGTTCCTTTATATAACACAAAAAAATACTTGAAATTTTAACTTTTAAGTGGTAATTTTTTTTATGACACACGTTAAGAAAAGAAAAAGGTGAAAGATGAAATTGATATCATAATCTCAACAATATATATATATATATATATATTTCGTCGGAATGAAGGTTCACCCACCTCGACTAGTATCATGGCGTCCGTGCCGTATGCTAATCGGAATGGAGTCTCCTTTGTGCTGGATTGGGGCGTGCACCTATATGCCCAGAGGACTTCGGGAAGTTCTTCGGCCCAGGCTCCTTTGGCCGAGCTGAGGTGTTTCTTCAGTTCGGTCAAACACAACCTTGTTAGCTGCTTCGGCCTGCCCGTTGGACTGAGGGTGTTCAGCAGACGTGAATCGGTGTCGGATGCCGAGGTTCTCAAGGAAAGTGTTGAACTTTTTATCAGTGAACTGAAGCCCATTGTCGGAAATGATTGCGTATGGGATGCCGAACCGGGTGATGATGTTTCTCCACACGAATTTTTGAACATTAGCGGCCGTTATGGCGGCGAGTGGCTCAACTTCAATCCACTTGGTAAAGTAGTCAACAGCCACCACTAAGAATTTACATTGGCCTTTGGCGAGTGGGAATGGACCAAGAATGTCAACACCCCATAGAGCAAACGGCCAAGGTGCACTGATCGCGTGAAGCTGTTCGGCCGAGGCATGTATTAAATTGCCGTGCTGTTGGAATTGCTTGCATTTCTTCACATACTCGGCACAATCAGTCTTCAAGGTCGGCCACTAATATCCGGCCCTTAGCACTTTACCAGCTAGTGTTCTTCCTCCTGAGTGTGACCCGCAGATTCCTTCGTGAATTTCTCATAGAACATAGTCGGCTTGCAGCTGGTCGAGGCATTTCAACAAGGGTGTGGAGAACCCTCGCCGGTATAATTCTCCGACCACCACAGAGTAGCGTGCCGCTTGAGTTTGGATCTTCTTGGCTTCCATCGGGTCGGAAGGTTCGGAACCATTAACGATGTAGTTTGTGATGTCGATCATCCACAAACTTGAAGGTTCTTCGACCGACATGCACTCTTGTGGAATACTTGACGTGGGTAGTTCCAAGTGGATTGTTGACCGGAGTTGTCCTGGTTTTTGGCTGCTGGCCAGGCGAGCTAGCTGGTCGGCTCTTTCATTGTTACAACGCGGTGTGTGTCGGACTTGTACGTCGTGGAACTGGTCCTTCATTCCTTTGAACAAATGGTAGTACTTCAACAGGTTTACATCCTTGACTTGAAAGTTATCGTTGACTTGTTCAGCCACTACTTTCGAGTCGGTCCAACACACGATTCTTGTAGCTCCCATCTCGGCGGCTAACCACGATTTCTATTGCAAGTAGTTGATTAAGAAAAGAAGAGTTCGAGAAGGAGAATTTCGCTAACACTGTTTGTGTTGTTAAAAAATAAAAAGCCAAGGGGTGTTGATTTTGAAATAGTAACTGAAATTAGACTTAGGTTAAATTATATTTTTATTTATTTTTAGAATGTAATTTAGTCCAATTTTTTTTAATTAGTTCAATTTATTTTTAAAAATATTTAATGTTTTATTTTCATTCAAATTGATACCAACATAATAATAAAATTAGATTAAAGGACAACATTAAATATTTTAAAAAAATTAAAGGAATAAATTATATATTTTTAAAATAGTAAAATCAAATTAAACACTTTAAAAATAATATGACCAAATTAAATAAAAAAAATTAACATTATTTTTTAGATAAATTTAAATATTCTTTTACTTAACTTAACAAGATCATGAATATTTAGAATTAAAAAAATCATAAAATAAAATAGTTATCTAACAAAAAAAATATCAAATAAGTAAAAAAAATTAAATGTATCTTAACAAAAATTTGTTGGATATTTTTTTGTGTAATTTTGTCCCCGTATTTATAGAATATTTAATTTAATTCTTAGTCCTACTATTTTTAAATGACTCATTTTAGTTCTTTAATTTTTAAAAGATATTAAATATTATCTTTTCACCTAATTTTATTAATGTTTTTAGTGTCAATTTGGATGAAAGAATAATATTATATATTTTTAAAAAATTAAAGGATAAATTAAATTATTTAAAACAATGAAACTAAATTAAATTTAAAAAAATTAAAAATTAAAAGTATAATTTAGGTGAATATGCAGCTACTTATACAATTCATCACAAAAGAAAGAGTTATACAACCTCTTTTAGAAAAAATAAAATAAAATAAAATAGTAGGTAATTAATTGATAAGTGTGAATAGTTTTTAATGTGCAATTTATAAAATAAAAAAAAAGTTATAATTTACAAATAAATAGTTATAAGAGTAAAACTATATATAAAATGCTTACACCAAAAAGGCTCATATCCTTATTATATTTTAGATATAATTATTTTTGTAAATGTTTCAAAAAATTTATAAAATAGTTTATAATTTATTTATAAATTAATTTTAGCTTATTTAATATAATTCTAATAATAATTTAGGAGAACAAGTTACAATTTCATTATTTATGTGAGAACACCATGTTTAATAGTAAGTATTTAATTCATCTTTTTTTCATTATTTATGTGAGAACACCATGTTTAATAGTAAGTATTTAATTCATCTTTTTATTCAAACAAGTCCTAAATATTAAAACACGTTATTTAATGACTTAATAATAATTTTATTAAAAATTAAGTTAAAAATACATTATGCTAACTTATTAATAACATTTTTAATAATAAAAACAAACAAACATTTTTCTCAATATCTTAACTTCGTTTGACATATTATAACGATTTATGTTATCTATGCCACATGTATAATTCAGTGAAAATAATTTTATTTAAATGGAGTAAGATTATTTAATGCAGCTACATGTTATAATGAGTTTTGAGTGCAGATCCTAATCTTGATGTTGAAAGGGTTGAAAATGGAAGATTCTGCAACGAGTTTTGATTGCGCCACTATGGTTTGGTGGATTTGTAGCATGGCACGGCCTTTAGTGTATGGTGGGCAAGCTGACAGTAGGTGTTAGATTGGAGAATTGCACCACACCTAATGGAGGTTGTTTCTACCCAACTAATCATTACAAATTTGTTTGGCTCCTTTCATAAAATATTCTTATGAATAGTATTTGACACATTTCACGTGCATATGTTGTAACAACTAATCACATTGTGTGTAGGCTTGCCAATATTGCTAAGAAATGGGTGCGTAGTGAAGAAAAAAGAGAAGAAGGATATATTAAACTTATTTTATGTAAAAGATAATCTTGCCATTGTCTTCGTACCTTCAACAGTTTTGAAGAGAGATTGAAATTCAGAAAGATTAAACTTTGTTTTTTTTTCTTTCTATAGAGGTTGTTCTTAATCAAATAAGAAATTAACATATATATAAATAGTTTCTTTTTTTTTATGAATAAGGGTATGCATAGTATTTGAAATAGAATTATTTAATAGAAAAAAAATTAATATAAAAAATAAATTTTATTTTATAAATAAAGATACAAACTCCTTAATGAATTCACTCAATAATAATATTATATATATATATATGAAGAGGAATTAAATTACTCTAAAAATCTTAGATTTGTTAAAAAACGACATTGAAAAAATAGCCTTAATGCAAGAGAGACTAATTTTCAACAAAGTCGGTAAATACTCTTGTCAATACCATGGTACTAAAAAAAATTACTCCAATAGTAATTCTTGCTAAAGTTACTTCTTTTAATAATTTATCATGTATGTTAAGTTTTAACAATCCTATTAAATTAAAAGTCTTTAATGTATAGATCAAGTTTACAAATTTTTTTAAATTTTTAAACTTGATTTATACATTAAAAACTTTTAATTTAATGATTAACCATGAGTTACTTAATGAAGTAACTTTACTAAGAATTACTCTTATATATATATATA